GACCGGGATGTCTGTTATGATAAACTACCATAGAGTAAATTAGGCTGTCTTATCGTTGTTGTTATTGTTGTTAATGTTGTTGCAAGTGAAACCTGTCCGGACACAGCCCCAGGGACCGATTGCATAAGATAAAGTGACTGAATGTCTTTAAAAAAGAGCACCAAATGGGGAATTATCCCTGATGACTTATTCCACAGCTGTCACAAACCCGTTCCTGGAAAAGATCACCAAAAAGAAAATTGCTATAGAATCATCGTACTTCAGATTGCCATAGAAAAGCTCAAGAAAACGGTCGTGGCCACAAAGTAGGCCCAAAAATGTGAGTTAAGTCGTCTTTGGGCATCTACACTAGGTGAGTACCGCTGGGGCAAAGATAGCTGGTGCACGTATGAGGACTTCAGCGGATGAATAGAAACTGTCACAGCCGCCATTAACTCACAACGGTGTTCCAAACAACATGTTTATCAGACTGATGATGCATATGTACACGGACGAAATGGGTTAACTGGATCGCTGCTGCGCTTTTCGAAAGAACAGTGTCGATGAGAGGAGATACGTGGGCATCGAAACCTTAGCGCCTCCTATTGGGCTTACCCCAGGGGTTATCACTATATCTCATTCTCTTTAGTTTGCACACATCATTATTAACCATTGCACAGATATTAGGTCAGAGCAGAATAAGGTCGTTCGCAGACGATGTCCAAGTGTACCGAGGAGGAAATAGCAGGGATGAAATTACGAAAGCGCTACATGAATTAGACCGACCCAGTGAGTGGTGGCAGAAATCAAGTGTACACGTAAACCCGGCAAAGGCTTCCTGAGCATGGTTTTTCTTTGAATAGCCACATTTTCAGCACACCTACGACAGGAGTGAGCATGTGCCGTATAGACTTCAGTAGTACTGACACAGTGAGATATCTTAGCATAACTTTCGACAGATGCTTGTCATACATGTGTCATGCAGACAATGTACAATGTTATCTTTAGCGCCTTGAAGAGTCTGACTGCGCTAAAAGCTATGGTGTTTAAACGCCGGCATTGAACAACGCCTACTTTTCCTGCTTTGTCAGGGACTTGTACTTACTGTTATAGATTACAGTCTAAAACAAACCCACTGTTAGCAGAACCCAGCTGGAAAGACCGGACCGGGTACAAAATTAGGCCATGAGACTCATGCTCAACTAAACGGAAGACACTTTAGTGTCAGGCCATACGGTGTGTCCTTGATTTGTCGACGATGACCACCAGACATAAAATAGGACAGGTGAAGAGAGGATATCAGCAGGCATCAACCACCTACTGCACATAGCTAACAAAGATATCAAAGGGACGCGTCTCAAAAGAGGTTTATCCTGGATAGCGGGGGCGGAAAATATACTCCAGCAAGAGATCAGTTACAGAGAAGAATGGACGGATACACCAGCAGACTTGTCTAAGGTTATCATAACATTGTAGAGGTACAGCAGGGGTCAGACACTGCCATCGTAGACGCTGAGATTAGAGCACTGATTGATCAGCATGCACGCCCAGAAGACATCATTTACGCAGATGGGTCCGTGAAGCGTGGATCACGGTTAGCATGGGCATACACAGAACCAGAGTTGGAGAAAACAATAAAAGAGGATAGCGGTGCTCACCAGACGACTACGTCAAGCATGACCCTGGAGATAACTGCTGCTCCCAGAGCACTCGCATGGGTAACAGAACAAGTGACCACAATTGTGGTAATCGTGTCAGACACTATGAACATGCTCCTGAAAATCGCTACAGGTAGACTCCGCTCCGAATGGGTAGAAAGCATTCTGAAGTCGAAGAAGTTAACCTCTATCTTGTTAATTTGCACACCTGGGCAAGCAGTAGTAAATGGTAATGAAAGAACTGACCAGCTGGCAACTAATGCACCAAAGAAAATAGGAAGAAGCATAAACATAGCTGATATAATCAATGCTGAATGGACTAGGTTGAGAGATAATGGCTAATCTCTGACACTAACAGACTGGGTGTAAAAACAGGAAATGCTATAACCACTTCCTCATGGTCACAATCAGTAGAGGTACCTTGGAGTGGCCGAGCGCACGTGGGGATTCCCAAAATGCAAAGATGTTCGGTTGAAACAATAAAACATAACATAACAAAACATACTGCCAACCGGACTAGTTCGACTGTATGGAAAGAGTTAACTATCGTTTACTTAAAGGGAAAGGGGTATATAGTCTGGTACAAAAACCGGCAGCCGACCCACACATTTGGGGGGGGGGGGGGGGGGGTGTGGGGGGGGTGGGGTGGGTGTGAGGGGGGAGGGGTAGAGAGGGAGGGGGAATTATAATGTTAATTAAGTTTTAACATATGCACGTGTAAACCTGCAAACCAATAAAGACATGGAACGAAAGTTAAATGCAATAAAAACCAATGCATGGAGGGAAATGCGATGCATTTAAAAGGAGCGAAGACAAAAATAGAAGTGTCAGAGTAACCAATAGAAGCAACAGTTATAAAACAGAGCAGGTGCCGCTGTCTAGGACACATCCGCCAACAGAGAATTAAATCACAGGCAATGAACTGGGAGATACAGGGGTTACGGAGGTGAGGACGACCTGAGAAACCCTAAGACGAACGTTGATGAGAGAGGCCAAAGCTGCTGGACTGGATTCCACATGTAATATTGAACTGATTGCATATGATAGAATAGAGTGGATAGACTGCAAGCCCTGTGTGACATATAGGGAGTGAAACAGGAGCATCATGAATTAATGAACGAATAAATGAGTAGACATTTAACAGACAGAAACAGACACAGACAGACAGAACAGTAGACTGAAAGACAAACAGGCAAACATTATTACTAGAAATGTTAAATGTAAATATTTCTTAGAACCCAAAGAGTTCTGTTCTTTATCTTTCAGCTATCCTGGATGACGAAATTGCATGTAGCTGGGGTCATGTTTGCTGGTCTTGATGAAGACGATTTTACCGGAACGGTAAGTGATTGTGGAGTTTGTTACGACACACTGTTACAATAATGCAAATAATAACATCTCATGCCCTAACTAATAACAAGACTGCCTTTGTGTAAACTGGTGCACGGAACACTATAAATAATGCAGATCCTTGGGTGCGAGTGAACAGTGAGACGCGCAAATAGATCATAGCCGTCTGAAGAAACTTGCGCAGCGGAAAGTAACCAGGCAGATCCGGTCGTCAGGCAACTCATGTAGGGAATAAAAGGCGGACATATATAATCAGGCTGCTATTGGCACCACTGGTACTGGAACTCTGCTCTGGTCGCTGAACATGGGGACGGAGCGCTTATGGGAATACGCCGAGTGCTGTGATGTCGGTTCTCGAATCAGCTCTACTCAAAAAGGTCTAAATATATAATATTAAAGCAGCGGTGTGACAAACAGGGTTCCACTCACTCACCACCAAAAAACTTATCATGGTTCTAATGTTTGTTTTTAAAAACCCACATATCAATATGACCATCATGCAATGTTTCCAAAACTATTTGCTCCTTTTGGTCTCGTTGGTACAAACAGTGCGCGGTGATATAAAATTGATATGAGTTTTATCGAGATGTGCTTTTTTTCTCTGGTTGGTACAAACAGTGCGCGGTGATATAAAATTGATATGACTTTTATCGAGATGTGCTTTTTGGAAAGCATTTGTCAGAAAGCTCAAAACGAATTTTCTTTTATTTTCCAATTAAATACCCACCACATTAACATCTCGGCTTAGAAATGAATTAAAGACTTTAATGTGGTAGTACTGGATTGCATTTTTCAAGATCTCTCTATTATTACATTTTTAGATATATTCACCAAAGTACCTATGTATATTCTATTTGCCACGCAAACTATTAGCATCTACAACTTAAGACATTTGCTGTGGAAAACGCTTACATTCCCCATAAATTCTGTCACTTTGGCGTAGTTCCTCTTCACAACTCAATAAGTACCATTTCCCAACGTAAAACTTATCTCGCAACTACAGTTAATCTATCTAACAACTCATTTGAGCTCTATTGAATATATTTAACACTACAACTCTTCCTTTGATGTTCAGTCTCTGCCTTACCCTGTGAGACGCGCAAGTGTAAGTGGCAGGGACGTCAGCTTGGTGGAAGACCGGCGACCAAGCTTGCTCTATATTACAGAATGTGAGCGGCTTTAACGACCCCATAACGTGTACAATTGGTCCTTACCTCAATCCTTCTTCCCCACACACTTAACCTAGGTGCCACGGGACAGTGCAGACTACAGCAGTAGACCGGGGGGGGGGGGGCCGTAGCCTTAAGCAACATGGACCGGACTTACCAAGCATCAATGAAAGGCTACTTATTGTATAGATGGGCTGGGCTTTAGTGCGTTACTAGTTTCTCTGTTGTATATTCAACACGTAAACACAACAACCGTCTTCCAGGACTTTTGGTTTGCAGCTGACTAACAGTGAACCTCTGGTCTTTGGTCATCTGTCTCTTTGGCCTTGTGTATCCCGTGTGGCAGGTATCTTTGACAGCCTGTCTGCCTGGCTTGTGGAAACCGCGAGCTATCAAACAAAGCACGGTCATCATATTTAATTATATCTAATGGATTCTAAAAGTTAGAACGGAATAGAAAAAAAAGTAGGCTCAGATGTCTATGTGACGAACAACATGATTATGTAGATTATAACAATAATGATGATGATCTCCTTTACCCACCCCCTTGGCCCCCCCCCCCCCCCCCCCCGGAAGTAATTACTATTTCCACTGTTTGCTTATCTTTTAGCTGTGCCAAGATGGGAAATATCCTCTGTTGAATTACATCAAGGCTCATATACAGAATATATCAACAACACTGAGACCATCAACTCAGGCCCCACAGGATCATAGACAAGAAAACAACGATCTGAGATATACTAAAAACTTCATCATTTTCGTAGTTTGCTGTCTTCTCGCTGGCCTTGCTGTTGGGCTAGCGGTTTTGTATTTACTGAAACAGTTAGGCTATATTAAAAAATAGTTTGCTTAAACGATATAGACTGATAGACAAACAAATGAGTCAGCCCTCCTGGAGAAAGATGACAGTCGTAAACTGGTTGAAGAAATTAGACGATGTCAGTTTATGAGTAGGAATGGTACCAAGAACTCGATGGCTGGATACATGGAAACAACAAAAGGAAGCAAAATAAATACACTGGTGGTTTGGCTATACGGAATGGGCGAAGCAAGAACGTTGATGTGATCTGTAATTCTGGTAATCATGTGAAATGGCGAAACGCGAAAGCGAACGCAATGTTGATGATTAATTAAAATGGGATGTAGAAAAACATATTTGTTACTCATTCTGCAAATAAAAACATACAATAAAAGCATATCGTTTATACTTAAATGTTATTACTTCACCTCACGTGTAACTCACCTCTAAGAAATGCAACCCTGCTTCTACCCGTCAGCTCCATCTTTACTGGATGTTTTTCTATAATAGTTTTGGCCTCTGTATGTGTGTGTGTTTTTTTTTTTTAATGTAATGATATCTTAATTTGTTTGTGACGTATGTTGAGGATGGTTTTCTAGTCACAACGTTCATTTTGCAAATTGTGATTGTAATCTGTTCTTGCTAAATAATAATAATTTAGGATGAAAACAATCTGGACAAGACTGACTGACTGTTAAAGATGATAACAGTCCATTGAGGCGGTTCGGCTTTGGTCGTAAGTGTAGGACCTCCCATTTGACGCTCTGGCACTAGAGCTTGAATGGAGCATTAGGAGAACATTACACGTGCTGCATGTGCGTTTTATATGTTGTCTATCTATCATGAATGTTCCCATTCAACTCCCCCGCACCAGCCCTAGCCAACCCCTAAAACAACTCCATGTTCCCTGGCTTCAAGCGTTTTGCGCATACAGGGCTTAACCAGTATTTGATAGGCTAGACGGAATTAGGTTGGTGAAGTGGTCAGCATCACACCGGATTGAAAGCATGTCTGCATAAATGTTATCTCTTCACTGTCCTAGGGGTCTGCTTTCTGGCCTACTCCTAACATACCTGACCTCTAAGTCTGCTTCAGTGTCATGGCTTTTTGTGCTGCAGTATCTAGTGGCAATCTTGACCCATGTCAAAACCATTCGACATGCTGTATACCTATGTAGTTTATCACTGGATCAGTCCCAGCCTGTCTCCTATCGTCATTTCTGTTCCTTTCGACAGAATTCGACACAAACAAAAATCGTTCTGACTGAGAAGTAGAACTAGTTAGAACTATTTTGAACTAGCTAGTAGAACTAGGTTGCCTTAAGAACAAAGTCTAAACGAGAAGTAAAATTAGTCGGCTCTCCATTTAGAACACAATCTAACTAAGAAGTAAAACAAGTTTGCTTCAATGAAAAACTCAATCTAACATAGAAGTAGAACTAGTGTGAGACAGCTTGCGTAAATGCCCGCAGGCTCGATACAATAACGCCTAACTGGCCATGTGTCCAAGTCCAAGTCCTTTTGAGAAAAAAAAAAGAAAAGCTCGACCACGTTCAGACTGCTGCTAGCTAGCCTAGGCTGCTAACAGTCTCCGCCTATATTTGTGGTCTGGGTTATTTGCGTCACTTTCGTGACTGAATACTGGTGTTTGTGCCATTTCTGGCTTAATGTCTGGCCATGTGTGCTTCTAAATGTTTCATATATCATGTCTATATATATTTGTTGGTCACAATCACACACAATTTTCAGGCCGTGATACACATGCTGAATAAATCATTCTCATTTATTAAAATTTTTTAATGTTCCGTGGCGGGGTGTACTTAGTTCACGCGCTCAGTACACTTGATTTGACAGCCAGACTCATGTCGTCGTTTGGAGGTGGCAAGTTCGATTCCCGGTACGGCAACTATAGTTGTCGATTTTTAAGTTGTCGCTCTCTCAATGTCGTGTAGTTCATGAGTGCAAGAAGGTCAGCCTTGTAACATAAAACATACTTCGCCCCCCCCCCCCCCCATCTACCCTAGGATTGCTGCCTGCAAGATTGTTATTTAGAGAATGACTATCAAACTGTAACAAATCCCAGAAGTCACGGCCATCTGACCTATTTCTTCGTCGCGTTCACCAACTGTAAGCTCCATAGAAATGATCTAGTTATTCGTCTACTTCTGGGCTGTTGTCCTGTTCCAGAACTCAGTTTTACGGATCCCACTCATATGTGTGCAAACTGTTGGTTCGATGCCTCTCAGGCAGATGCACTCCGACTTTGAAGAAAGCTCCAAATTAGCCAACTCTTACGACATGCTTTTCTTAAGGCAGTGGATCTATTCTTGCTTTCCCTACAATTGGGACCTGAAACCCATGTCAGAGGTCGAGAGGCGGGTACAAGGTCAGAGGTGATCTTACATTCAAGACTGATCAGAGCCCTATACACGTGTGTACAACAGGTTTACCCCAGCTGCTCTGACATACTTTCGCTTCTCTGGCAGCCAGTTCAGTTTTTCTTTCATTCCCTGATCATCTCTTCGCCTCTCATTACTTCTTCTTTCTCTGCGTTCGACATCACTCGTGCTAAACACTGACTCACGTCTTGGTCAAAAATAGTATTGTGCGTTTAAGGTCGCCACCGGTCCCCCATAGCTTCTCTCGAAATGTAGATCCCCTGGGCCAGATCCACCGTCTTTGCTGAGAGAGGTAAGGGCAGTACTGCAGTATGTGCTCAGGGGTCTGTCTTTCTGCTCCACAATCACAGGCAGCAGATTATTTTACGCCTATCCTGTGCGGGTGTGCTCGAAAACCACAGTGTCCAGTCCGAAGTTACAATGGAATGGTATGATGATCTGCACTACTAAGCCGGGTGAAGGTAACATATTCTGCTGTGACTTCTCATACTCTCTTGGTCACCGACTCCACATCAACAGGCTATCTGAGGACACTTGCAAGTTGTCAAGAATAACAGAGGCATAGTTCTTTTGTGAGACAGTTGGTTTATTTTCAATATAGCTCGTTTACTCTGGAACAAGTACATCATTAAACAGTTGACAAAACTGAAATCAGTACATATTTCAAGAGTTGACAACAATGGAATAAGTATATCTTTCAACAGTTGACAACACTGGAATAAGTATATCTTTCAACAGTTGACAACACTGGAATAAGTATATCTTTCAACAGTTGACAACACTGGAATAAGTATATCTTTCAACAGTTGACAACACTGGAATAAGTATATCTTTCAACAGTTGACAACACTGGAATAAGTATATCTTTCAACAGTTGACAACACTGGAATAAGTATATTTTTCAACAGTTGACAACACTGGAATAAGTATATCTTTCAACAGTGGACAACACTGGAATAAGTAAATATTTAAAAAGCCGACAACACTGGAATAAGTATATCTTTCCACAGTTGACAACACTGGAATAAGTACATATTTCAAGAGTTGACAACACGGGAATAAGTATATCTTTCAACAGTTGACAACACTGGAATAAGTATATCTTTCAACAGTTGACAACACTGGAATAAGTATATCTTTCAACAGTTGATAATACTGGAAAAAGTATATCTTTCAACAGTTGACAACACTGGAATAGGTACATATTTCAAGAGTTGACAACACTGGAATAAGTATGTCTTTCAACAGTTGACAACACTGGAATAAGTACATATTTCAAGAGTTGACAACACTTGAATAAGTACATCTTTCAACAGTTGACAAAACTGGAATAAGTATATCTTTCAACAGTTGACAACACTGGAATAAGTAAATCTTTCAACAGTTGACAACACTGGAATAAGTACATATTTCAAGAGTTGACAACACTGGAATAAGTATATCTTTCAACAGTTGACAACACTGGAATAAGTATATCTTTTGCACCAAGTTGATGGAATAAGTATCAACAGTTGACAACACTGGAATAAGTATATCTTAAGTCATTTTTCAACAGTTGACAACACTGGAATAAGTATATCTTTTCAACAGTTGACAACACTGGAATAAGTATACAACACAACACCGGAATAAGTATATCTTTCAACAGTTGACAACACTGGAATAAGTAAATCTTTCAACATTTGACAACACTGGAATAAGTACATATTTCAAGAGTTGACAACATTGGAATAAGTATATCTTTCAACAAATGACAACGCTGTAACGCCGCTCAAATTCCAATATACATTCTGACAGTTGTTTCTCCTATTCCATCACAATTACTCAACGTTGACTACACTTCATTCAAATTACATCGACCACGTCACGACTGTCTTCTTCGAACTCTGGTACACAACTGATACGAGTCAACCTCGGGCTGTCCTTAGTTTACCTTCCCAGTCCCAAGCATCTCTCGTGCGGTCGTTTATCGCACATATTTTCTGCTCGATTTGCTGTGAGCGTTGAGAATATGGAAAGCAACTCACCACATCCTTCTCCTTCTTAACAAAATGACATCAGGTATCATTTTTATTTAACCGAATATAGTAGATAAATCAAGCTAACCTAAACTAATAGTAATATTATGTATTATGGTTCCTGATTACCCGCAATTGCTTCCCTTGTCTTTAATATTTACTGCATGCTTTTCCAAGTACTCAGCTGGTAAAGATTTTAAATCATCTTTGCACCTATTGCATGTGTAGTATTGTCTAGTCACCTTATCTAATCTATCAGGTTCGAAGCTAAGTCCTGGTAGTGATGATGAAAATGATGATCAGCTTTGAGATATTTACGCCATAGAAAATTGGGTTTAACCAATGTTTCCATATCATCCTATACTGGGTTGTTAGCTTCAAGGACTCTCAGCCGAAGTGATAGTGTTGAGATATGTTTTTCCTTATTATTGACAGCAGTCCACAGGTTCATCTTGAAAACCTTCCCTTCCAACATACAGGTAATACATCCGCCACATGGTCAAGCTTGCCGGGTATCAAACATCTGGCTAGTCACTTGAAGATCATGTAGTTTATATAGACAAAGGGAAACCGTCTTTCTTTTGGGGTAACAAATATTACGTTCCTTGAGAATTGAACATTCCCTTAAT